GCATCTCATCAGCGGCCTCTCTGCCGCCAGATTCCTGCTAAAGTGCCTTGATTGCATAATGTCTATTTGCATAATGTAAATTGCAATCTCCTAGCTCGGGAGGCAGGAATCACAGAACAGCCATTATTTTTTACCACTCCACAAAAATTCTACATTTAGAAAGCAGATTTGCAGCTCAGAAAGCCGTATAAATCTGAATCCGCCAGAAACACCATTAAATCACACCAATTAAGCTGGACCAACGATGAGCCCCTGTCACTGTTCTCTGCACACTCAAGGACTCCCAGCCCAGATGGAGGCCACGAAATACGGGAGGCTGGGTGCAGGGCTGGAAGCAGGCACTGTAAGAGGCAGGAGAGTCTGTCCTGTGAGCCTGAACTAACACCCCAGGCAGAGCAGACCATCAAGGCCTGGTGGGAGGAGAGAGGGGGCTGGAATGGCTGAATCTTTTGGGCCTAGCTGCTGGATTTCTTGGCATGCTGTCTGTAGACTTTTAATTTGAGGATGGAGACAGTCTATGAGGAAGAAGGCTGCTCCTTTAGCAAAGGAGACCCCAGGTATTTCTCTTGGGGGACAAAAACACCATCCTTGCCGTTAGCCTCTTTCCCTCTTCTCCAAGTCGCCAGCCAAGTGAAAGAAATGCTAGGGCAAATCCTGTTCACACTGGACTGGCGAGACACTGAATCCGTAAGAGTTATTTCTTAGGGGTCTCAGGAGAAAAAGGCGAGTCACAAAGTCCCAGCAAAGGGCCATTCCCACTGATAACTCTTGAGTCCGGCTTCCCTGAAGCCTTTACCTGGTTACTCTTTTGCCTCTTTATTGCTCATTCAATATTCATTTGTCAGAGGGCAAGATGCTAATGTGTATTATTAAAATATCAATAGTTTATGAGTGAACTCTGATGGAGGGTACAATTAAAGGAAAGATTCTTGACCATCTCTGTCTGGAGAAAGGGAGAGGGACAATCTTTCTTTCTAAGTCCATCTTTTATTATTTGCTGGGTAAGGGGATGATGGGATCCACTCTTGGGTCCCCATGTGTGCCAGGAGAGGTGGGAGTACTGGGTTCCTTGGAGTCCCACTGCCGTCCCGGAGGGGTACACAATTCTGCTGCTAGTCAAGAGACAGGACTCTAAAGACCACAGAGATGTGCCCAGGACCACAAGCTATTCATGAAGCTGGCATCACACCCCAGTTTTGGGCTTCAGCCCCAACATTTCCCCCCAAATCGGGGCCTTGGAAATACAAATGATCTTCATGTTCTGATCTGTTTCCTTCAGCTGCCCAAATTAAACATTAGTATCCTGACCCAAGTTTCACCAAAAGGGAAAAGAACAGGAAATTATTCTGTGATTTCATACAGATCCCATTTCTAAAAAATGGGGCTCCATTTAGACATCACTAAGTGAGCCCCTGCAGTCTTTTCCACACATCTAGAACTCTATAACTGAAGGTTACCTTGGAGAGGATGTCATTAGACATTCCCATTTTAAGGGAGAGTAAACTGAGATTCTTATGGCCCTATAGTGAAGTGATTAAGTCTCTCCAAGAGAGAGTGCTAAGCTTGACTTCAACTGTTACCAACTAATCTGTCACTCACTAGGGGATTTCTTCTACTCTTTAAGCCTCTACTTCTTTTCTGAGAGACCTGTATCTCACAGACAAGGAGTCTCAAGTGCCTAGCAGAATATCTAACCTGAAGTGAGTGTTTAGTGAATGCTGCTTATTAATCTTAAGTTGACTTGTGGAGACTCCAAAATGCTCCCTCCTAACTCCAGCCCCACTTCATCAAAACCAATCATATCCCCCTCTCTAGCCTGCCCCCTCCTTTCAGCATTACCTATTTTTCCCATCTTGACCTTTGAGAAAATCAACTGGTTTCACCCTAAGTCAAAACAGAGTTCCCAGGGCTTTCAGATTCCCTTCCAAAATATAGTTGCATTTGGGGCAGGAAAATGCCAAGAGAAAGGGAGCCTGGTCCCCAAGGGCCTAAGCCCCAAAGGTCATAGTGCATTGGCAGAGGGGAAAGAAGAGGAGGAGAGCACATGGCGAAAAAGCGCGAAGTGTGGCCTCGACCTTCCCAGTCCCCAGCACAGCCCCCAGAGACCCCTGACCTTTGAGACCCCTGAGTCCTGACCTTTGGCTGAAACCTATACCAGCTTGGAAGCCCACGGAGTTGGGGTGTTGGAGCTATGGGTGGCAGGCGTGACTCGGGGCTTGTGGAGTCCTTGGTCCAAGGTCCCTCTTCAGACTTGGCACTTCAGCTGTGGGTTGCAAACTGGACCCACTCTTGCTGAGGTGGAATCTAAGGTACAAGTACTAAGAGCAACTGCAGCATCTCCTGGCATGAGCATGGCCTCCAGGAGTCTCGCCTATGGAGGAAGCCTGGCCTGTCACTGGGGTTCCTTCAAACCCAGACATTCTGTGATTTAAGTTACAGGTTGATTGCTTAAATGGGGGTTTCCTTAGCTGTCTTTCTAGGGCAAGCACCTCACCACATAGAAAGGGCCCATTTCTTTTTTTTCTGGGACATAAGAGACGGTTCTGTGGTAGACTGTCCTCTCCAAAGATGCTGTATCAACATAGATCCCACTCCTCAGGCTCTTCTTTCTGTGCATGTTGATACTCCTTCAAGAGGTGGGGGAGTGGGGTGTCTATGTCTCCTCTTTTAAACCTAGGTTGCCCTTTGTATCTGCCACGGTCAAGGGAATGTGGTGCAGTGATGCTGCTTTGGCAGTTTGGCTTCCACCTGGCTCTTGTTCCCTTTCAGGATACCCACCACCGCCACCTCCTAATCCAGTCCCCAAATTGTGAGGAGGCCCAAGTTAACCAGAGCATTCACAAAGCATGGCTGACAATCCCAGCTGTCTCAACCAACAAGTGATTTCCACCTCAGAATGGTAAATGAATGAGCCTTCAAGATGATTCCAGCCCCCGACATTTTTGAGATCCCAGACCAGACAGAATAGAGACAGGCTGTCCTTGTAGTGCCCTGCCTGGATTCCTGGCTCACAGGACACATCAGCACAACACTGTTAAGTCATGTGTGGGAGTGGTTTGCTTCATAAGCATAGTAACCAGGAAGCCACTGGAAGGAAACAAGAGTGTGTGCTGTTCCCCTCTGAAAGCCAGTCGTCACTGGTCTTTCTGTGACTTGAGACTTTCAGGATCTTCCCTCCTTAATGGGTCCTGGTCCCACTGAGTCTGTGCCCCTCACCGAAAGGCAGGGTCTTCAGGCCTAAGGAGCCTTTGGCAAACCACTCTGGAAAGACCCTTTGAATCTTCCCTCTTTACTCTCTCTACAATAAGGAAACCTGCTTCTCTTGCTCCTCGGTGAGGTCCAACCACATGTCCCTGGGAGGGAGCTTTGGCTGGGTGTGGGTGACCCTGTCCAAGGTGCCCGGCACAGGGACAGAGAGATTGTGCAGCCCTCTTTCCCCACACTTCTCTGCTCTTATTAAGGCTCACACTCAGCTCACTCCTCTCATTCTTGACTTAACTTATAGGTCCCTCTAAGCTCCATGCAAGTAGACACTGATTCTCACAAAGGTCATTATCTTTCTCCTCTGTCTCCTCCAGCCTCCGGCACCATCTCCTAGGTAGGCTTTCCTGGAACAGGATGGAAGGAGGCACCCCTCCCCGCCCCCTGGGCCTGGGGATCCAACCACTCCAGAGCCCAGGCTGAGAGGAGGTGCCCTGAGAGCCCCCACCCGTCAATCACAGAGGCCACCAGCACTGAATCGCAGGCCATTAGGCGGGAGGGCCGGCGCCCTGCTCACTCACCGGGCAGCCATCGGCAGGATGTTAGACGATCGTGGGGCGGCCATTCTTATGATTTATTCAAATAGTCATTACAGTCAATCTATTTTTACACAGAGGTGAAGATGTGTGCTGATAATGGTTAATCATTTATAATTCCATGGACTGGTTGGGAGCCAATGTACTATCAAAGCCACAGCCCCACTCAGCCTCCGGTTGTCCCAGAAGCAGGGTAGAGAAGGTATGCAGCCCAGGGCAATCCCATCTTCCAGCTAACATTTGCTGAGCCGCAATTAGGCTGAGGGTGCACTGGGAAAAGGAGAATCCCAGACTGCCTGCCAGGAGCTCAGCCTTGCTAGAGGGGGCAGAGTGGAATGGGTGGGCCAGAGTGGTGGCCAAGTATGTGAGTGCAGCAGAATCCAGAAGGTGATATCACTTCTCCCTGGAGCTACCAAAGAAGATCCAAGGAGAAGAATGAACCAAGCCGGTTCCCACAGGTGGATAGACTTTGCCAAGGGGGAGAGCCAACAGTGAACAAATAAAATAAGTCCTCACTTAACATCCTCAATTGGTTTTTAGAAACCAGGACTTAAAAGGAAATGACATATAACAAAAGCAGGTCCTCCAAAAACACCCTTTTGTTCAATGTCAGCTAGCCAGGACTACCCGCCCACCCCCCCCCCCCCTTTTTTTTTTATCAAAGTTGTTAAGAGAGGATGTTGAACAAAGTGCTATTCAAGGATTCCCTGCAAGGGTAAGTGTAAGGAGGAGCTATTACTGCCTGATGGAAGGGAAGCAGCCAGCAGTATTTGCTTTTTGTCCTCTCATACCTTCCCAGAAATAACCAGATGTAAGAGCAAGCACTGCTCTGAACTTGGCCCAGTTCCTCCCCTCACTGCCTCCCAGGCTTCGCCCACAGATGATAGTGGCCGAGGTCCAATTGGGTCTTGCAAAATCAAGAGTTTCCCTCTCCGAGGCTCGTGACACACACAAGACATCAAATCAGGCCCACCGTAATGCATGATCAATAAAGTCTGATTAAATAAGATGTCATATTACAGGGCTTCTTTGTCACATTCAGACCAAATCTAGTTATAAGTCCACTGTAGTTTACTTTCTGATTAGTTCATTGTTGAGTGTTTCTCTTACACAACGTGTGGCTGGTAAAGATCAGGTTCAGGGCTGGTCTTTAACCCATCACCTTATTGAGTCAGCACAGAAATGCCAATCAAAGTTACTTACAGTTCACAGTGCCTTTTCTGGTGAGCGGCATGGAGGACAGAAGGCCCAAGTCCTGCTTCAGACTTCACCTGTCAATAAAAGAAAGCATTTTTATAGACTCTGTAGGATTCTGTTGAGAATAAGAGTGAAGGTAGAGATGGGGGTAAACTCAGAAGTGGTTCTGGCTCAGGTCAAGTCAGGCATGGCAGCCCTGTGGTGCTGAGTGGGAACGTTCGCTGAACCAGGGACTCCTGTAGACGCTACCCAGAGCAGAGATGGAATCACTCCTTCCTTACCTGAAGGGTGCCTCCATTTTCTGAGAGTCGCCCCTTCCCTTTAGGAGTCCCAGCCCTGAGCTGATTGAGGCAATAATGATTTACTGGCCTTTCTGTCTGATAGAAGATCACTGGTGAGGCAGGACAGAACTAAAAAGCCCCCATGAAGGTTTGCAGCTTATGTCGGCAAGTCTGCAAAAACAAGCAAAATGGTGGCTGTTGTTTATGGCAGGATTATGGGAGGTCTGATGGAGGAGAGAACACTCAAGTAAAAGTGAAGAGTCCAGGAAGGCTGTAAGGAAAAGAATGGGTGTGGAGAAGCAACAAGGGAGTAAGATTAGAAAGATCTAAAACATGACTATTTTTAATTCTCTTTCTAGGGTAAAGCGAGAAAAACACCACCCACAAGAAAAAAAACAGCACATATTTATCAGGTGTCTACTCCATGACTTACACTCCCTTGGTGCAACAGGAGTAAATCACATGGCCACATCCTTGGAGAAATAAGATGACCCATCTGAAGTATCATTAGATAAGACAAGACTTAATATAAAGTAGTGGGCAATTGTGTGGTACAGGCTCTAATTCCCTCTTCCCAGAGAAGTGAAGTCAGCGAAAGCTAAAACACTTGAGGAAGTTTTTAGGGGGCAGCAGAACTTGAACGAGGTCCTAGAAGACTGGACAGGCCCAATCTGGCCAGTGGAAGGGAGAGAGAGGGCATTTCAAGAAAGGGGAGCACTTGAGAAAGGAAGGGAGCAAATGCGGAGCACCCTGAAATGATACTGTTCTGCCCTAGAGATGGGAGGAGGTTGAGTGTGAAGAAGGGACTTTTGCAGAGAAGGAGGACAAACCACAGCATTCAGCATTCAGGGCATGAGAGTCATGCAGAGAGGCTAGACTTGGGCTGTGAGCTTATGAAGCCATTGAACATTACTTCAACAAGGAAATGACTAGAAGAGGAGATCCTTCCCCTTTGCTGCTTTCCTGTAAATGTCAACAGAGAGGCTTCTTGGAAGAGGTAGAGTATGAGATA